AACGTAAAAAAATAAAACTATGAAAAAATACTCTAAAATAACTCAGAATGAGAAAATAATGTGAAATGAGTATATGCAATAAACTATATATAATAAGATTTAGTAAATTAAAAAAAAAAAACAATTTCAGAATCTTTTCCAAAGATTATGTACATTTCAAAATTCAATGAGAATTTCTTTTATATGAATGCAAACATAATCCTAGCTCATATATATATATATACATTATTTAGGCTGGAATGATGATTGTAGGGACCAATTTATAACAAATTCACATGCGAGAGCGGAGTGATGGTCATAGATAACATGAACCTCGTATGGCTTCATTGTCAATGTGGACCATCCTAAAAGATAAATAAGAACGACCAGTAATCAGTCTATATGGTGAAAAATTGTCCTATGTTTTATCATGATCGGTTCTTTCTTGCAATTACCACTAATCAGTTTATATGGTCGAAAACTGTCCTATGCCTTTATTCATGATCAGATCGGCTCTTTCTTGTAATTACCACTAATCAACTTATATGGTGGAAAACTGTCATATATATGCCCTAAATCATGATCCGATCGATTCTTTCTTATAATTAATAAGTTGTTTCTAGTTCTCTATATATATATTTGTGTGTAGTGCTTTTGGAACCACAATAAGTTGAGAGGAATATTTGTGTGTAGAGTGAAGTCCATCGTCCGATAGCTGATTATCCAGCGAACAACTCGGAAGATCTCTGAACTACTTTCTCAAATTATGACCTCGTACGTATATATATTAACTATTTTTGGTTATAATCCTCATATTTATATAATTTTCATACTATCACTACAAGAAAACATGTAGATTTTTGACGGACATTCTGATGACATAATTTCCATCGGAAATTTTCTGATGGAAATCCGACGGAATTCTGACAGATAATTCTGTTTGTCAGAATTCTGTCGGAAGATTAAAACGACAGTTTTGTCTGACGAATATCTGACGGAAATTCCCGACAAGATTCCAACGGATAGTGACCGTTTAAAAACAGCTGTTTTATAGCCGTTGTGTAGCTGTGGAAATTTTAAAATTCGTCAGAAATTCTCATATATTGACCGATTTAAACCCTTCTTCTCTCCTTTCCTCATTCATATAACAAAGCTAAAATCCAAAAAATTGTTTGACAATGTCTTCTTCGAATCGTTTTAAAAAATTTTGGTCGTGGATAGACAAATCTCCAAACGATCAAGTGACGGGAGATATTATGAATGAGTTTTCGGAAGGTCTACATCAATTCATTGAATTCGCAGCCAAACATTATGTTGTTTTCAAAATTCAATGATATTTTCTTTTATAAGAATGCAAACATAATCCTAGCTCACATGTACATGGTTTAGGCTGCAGTGACGATTGTACGGACCAATTTATAACAAAATCACATGCGAGAGCGGAGTGGTGGTCATAGATAACGTGAACCTCGAATGGCTTCATCCTAAAAGATAAATAAGAACGACCAATAATCAGTTTATATGGTGGAAAACTGTCCTATGTTTAGTCATTATCAGATCGGTTCTTTCTTGCAATTACCACTAATCAGATTATATGGTGGAAAACTGTCCTACGACCCTTAATCATTATTAGATCGGCTCTATCTTGTAATTACTACTAATCAGTTTATACGGTGGAAAACTGTCATATGCCCTAAATCATGATCATATCGAATCTTTCTTATAATTAATAAGTTGTTTGTAATTTACTATATATATTTGTGTGTAGGGCTTTTGGAACCACAAAAGTGTTTAAGTTGAGAGGACGATTAACTGCTACCGGAAACGTTTAGAATGGAGAGTGAAGTCCATCGTCTGATAGCTGATTATTCAGCGAACATCTGGGAAGATCTCTTAACTACTTTCTCAATTTATGACCTCATACGTATATATATAAAAACTTTTTTTTTTTTGGTTATTACCCTCTTATGTATATTATTTTCATACTATTCTTTCCAACATGAAGTTTTTGGGGGTTAAATGTTGAGACTTTATTACTATGAAGTTTTTAATTTAGAAAAGATGTAATAGACCGTTTTTTATTTATCTGAGGAGCGAAAAAGCTTGACAGTCCAGAAATGATGAAACTTAATATTGAAGAGGAGGAATTTACTTCTTTTTAATTAGTCGCCTATTGTGAGTTGATTCACTTATGTCTCTACAGTCTACGTCGTACTCATGATATTACTCCAATTCCATATAGGGAAGTGAGGCCGTGAATGAATCATTTTTGGCTTCGAGAGTAAATCCAATAGAGAACATCAAGTTCATTGACCTTCTATGTCACCTTGGTGTATCTTATCACTTTAAGAGAAACATTTTAGAGCAATTGGGGAAGTCATTTGACAGTCTTGATTTTAATCGGATGATAAGAGACGACGAATGCAATTTATACACTGTTGGACTACTTTTCCAAGTTTTCAGGAATTCGGTTTCAAACTTCCCGCCGGTATTAATTTTATTTTATACTATGTTTCAAATCAAATATATGAACGAAGAACACTAGAATCTTTGCATACTTTTCATTTAATCCAAGTTTTTTTTCAATACAAAAGAAGACGTGTTTGAGAAATTTAAGGATGGAGATGGGAAGTTCAAAGGGCACTTAGGGCAGACGCATGCGGTATGTTAAGCTTGTATGAAGCTGCACAATGGAGTACTCAAGGAGAAGACATTATTGACGAAGCTCTCGCTTTCTCAAGCCAGTGTTTAGAAGAAATTTCTTCTGTATCTACCTCCCATCTCACTACACGCATAAAAACTGCCCTAAAACATCCATACAACAAAGGCACCCCAACGATAGGAAGGAGACAATATATCTCATTCTACGAGGAAGAGGATTCCTGTGACGCAACAATACTTCGGTTTGCAAAGATAGATTTTAATCTGCTACAAATGTGAATGCCCTCGATTCCATGAAAAGTATGAAAAGTATGAACCTTTGAGTTTTGCGCATGCGGAAGTCTTAATTGAATTTGGACCTGCGAAAGAAGAAATTAATTAAGCCAGCCTGTTGACATAGTTTAATGAAATGCTGCATTTTCACTTATCTTGCCGATTTTTGGTGTATATTTGACTGATAATCGAATGAATCCTCGCTTAACGGCTGATTTAAATGCAACGGAACCAAACTTTTCTCATGAAGTTTACCGAGGTGCTCTATAAGTTAGATCGGCGAACTAGGGAGAGGGGAGGGGGAGGGGGGTGGCTTAATGTAGAGGGGAGAATCCGCACATGATAGAAAGGCTCTTTTACATTAATTTAAGCTCATCAGAACTATCCGAAACCGCCTTGCCTGAAGAAAAGAAAAATGTTTAGGATAAAGGAAACTTCCTAAATCAAAGGAAAAAGAGATTTTCCTATTAAGAATGGGAAAGGAGCTCGATGGAACCGATCAACTATCCATATAAATAAAGAGAAGGGATAATAGCTTGGAATTCAATCCGAAAATCCCAAGAGAGAGCAGCAAGAGATGATCTATTTGATTAAAAGTTAGTTAGAGAGTCGTTGTGTGGGCAGACCTAGACCCTACATTCATCATTTCTAATGGGCATACCGCTGACGTGTTGCTTATCGATAGAGTATAGTAAAAATGGGCTCAACAACATACAAAGATAAATAAGTTAGGATCTAAAATATAAATTTATAATAATATATTATAAAATTGGATATGAAAACTAAGTGATAAACAAAATTTATAAACAAATAAGTGATAATTAATTTATAGCAAAAAAAGAGAAACATTAAATTGAATTAAAAAAAAATATTAAGAACGCTATCCATTTCTTTAATTTTTTATTTGTTTCCAGTTATATTTTATCACATATTTGTAAGTATATAGATTTTTTATATTCTCGTATGGGTTAGGTTCATTTTTAACTAATTTAGTATTGACATATTTACTTTTTGTAAACAATTATAACGAATAGTTTATTATAGTATTTATGTAATTATATTTGTTTACTTTTACCATGTTTGAATTTTTTTAATATGCTAGGTTTTTAATTCGCTCTATGCACGAGTCTGTATTAATAATTTAGTTTAATTTTTTGTCTAATATCTTTTAAATTATCAAAACTATAATATATTTACAGAAATTTTCTTTAATATACAAAAATATAACATAACATGTAGGTTTTCTTATTTTTTTAAGTAAAATCATAGTAATGATATAAACGAATTATCCAACTTCGACATGCATACGTTTGATTTAGGAAATGATTTTCTTACTAAATTTTGGGTGTTTGTTTTGTGTCCTTAGGATTTCTATAGTTCTTTTTTTTAAGGTTTATATGTTCAAATATTTAGTTTTTGATTAAATGTTTAATTGATGTTGTGTACCTACGTATATATAATATATGATTTATGTTGATTCGGATTTTTAGGATATTACAATAATCATGTAAAGCTTGTATGAAGCTTGTATGAAGCTGCACAATGGCTTCGAGAGTAAATCCAATAGAGAACATCAAGTTCATTGACGTTCTATGTCGCCTTGGTGTATCTTATCACTTTGAGAAAAATATTTTAGAGCAATTGGGGAAGTCATTTGACAGTCTTGATTTTAACCGGATGATAAGAGACGAATGCAATTTATACTGTTGGACTACTTTTCCAAGTTTTCAGGCAATTCGGTTTCAAACTTCCCGTCGGTATTTATTTTATTTTATATTATGTTTCAAATCAAATATATGAACGAAGAACACTAGAAACTTTGAATACTTTTAGGTTAATCCAAGCTTTTTTTTTTTATACATATGAAGACGTGTTTGAGAAATTTTAGGATGGAGATGGGAAGTTCAAAGGGCACTTAGGGCAGACGCATGCGGTATGTTAAGCTTGTATGAAGCTGCACAATGGAGTACTCAAGGAGAAGACATTATTGACGAAGCTCTCGCTTTCTCAAGCCAGTGTTTAAAATAAATTTCTTCTGAATCTACCTCCCATCTCACTACACGCATAAAAACTACCCTAAAACATCCATGCAGCAAAGGCACCCCAAGGATGGAACGAGACAATATATCTCATTCTACGAGGAAGAGGAGTCGTGTGACACAACAATACTTGAGTTCGCAAAGATAGATATTAATCTGCTACAAATGTTACATCGCAAAGAGCTTGCTTGCGTAGCAAGGTAAATAATCTTGGCTGCATATATACACATTTCTATTGCATCAAGTTGAGCTTCATTCATTACATTTCAGGTGGTACAATGATATGGAGATTGCATCTAAAGTAACGTATTCAAGGCATAGAGTAGCAGAGGCGTACTTGTGGTCAGTTGGAGCATATTTTGAGCCTCAATATTCTCAAGCACGAGTTACATTAGCTATTGCACTAATCCTATTCACAGCGCTTGACGATATGTACGATGCCTATGGTACAACGGAGGAACTTGAGATTTTCACAGATGCAATGGAAAAGTACTCAACTTGCAAAGATCTTAAAGTATTAAACTATGTATCGTAGATTTTAGATTTCCTCTGACTTAATTTGATTTATATAAATGGATGGCTCCAATGCAGGTGGCTTCCCGTTTCCCCTAACGGGATACCTGAGAGCATGAAGCACATTTACCGTCTCACGGTAGATTTCTATAATAAACTCGAAGAGGAACTTGAGAAGGAAGGAAGGTTAAGACTCATAAACTCAATGTTGTGGCTTCCATCTTAAGAAATCAGTTAAGAGCACACGAAACAACCTTTTATACCATTTTTAAAAAATATATTTTCAACCGTAACAAATTCTTTATAATCAGTTGAAAGCAACAGCGAATGGATATATGCAAGAGGCAAAGTGGTTGAAAAAAGATTACATTGCTACATTTGACGAGTATAAAGAGAATGCAATCTTGTCTTCCGGTTACTATCCCTTGATAGCCATGACATTCGCGAGAATGGGAGATGTCGCAAAACTTGATGCTTTTTTTGAATGGTTAAGTTCAAACCCTAAAGTTAGGGTAGCTTCTAAGATAATCAGTCGATTCACGGATGACATTTCTAGCTACGAGGTGAGTTACGTAGTCCTTTATATGTTTCTTAGACTGAATGCCTTTGACAGATATATTTTGGTTGCAGTTTGAACACAAAAGGGAGCACGTAGCAACGGGTATTGACTGTTATATGAAGCAATTTGGTGTTTCCAAGGAACGAGCCGTGGAAGCAATTGAAACCATTGTTTCAAATTCATGGAAAGACTTGAACCAAGAGCTAATGAGGCCTCACTCATGTCCTTTCCCTCTTTTGATGAGAGTTCTTAACCTTTCTAGGGTCATTGATGTATTCTATAGGTACCAAGATGCTTACACCCACCCCAAGTTCTTGAAAGAGCACATCAAATCTTTGTTCATTGATAATATACCCATTTGAGATTATTGTGGTGATTTTTCCAATACATGGAATGATTCAGTCTACAATGATGGTCATGTAAACTTTGTATTACGGCACTCGAACCATGCCGCTTTCAACTTATTGTCATATTTTAGTCAAAAACAAAAAATAACTTTCTTTTTTTTTTAACTGGATTTAACAAAAATAACTTATTGACATATGTCCTTGCTATTTTTTTATTTTAGAATGCAGATCCAACGAATCGCAAGATAGTCTCAAAGCTCACGGTTTTATTATATATAAATGTTGTGAAGAGAAATATCATTCAGTTTCTATTAATCATGTGATCTTTTTCAGCTCTTTTATATGAATGAGAAACTTGGTGGTTGGGTATTTTTTGAGTTTATAATTATCAAAGTGTTCAATAGGCGAAATGAACACTTCTCTTTCTCTCTTCTTACCATTTAACGTTTGTATCTTCCATAATTTACTTACACAATTTTTACCCAATAACAGTGGTACATATACTTGGTTACTACCAACCCAAACCGTGGTCTGTGTCGAAAGACCCAAACCGATTTACAAAAACAGTTGCTGGGTATCCGATCCGGCCGGATCGGAATTATTCACTTTCTGAATGTTGGTTGCAGCATTTAATACTAATAAACGAAATTCTCCGATAAACCGATTTCAACTTCTTCACACCAAGCATTTGTCTCCGTCAACAACGACATTAATATCGGAAAATGGGTAATTCAAAGTACCCTTAACCGCGAAGTTCAGTAAGAAATAAGTCCTTGAAAATGTTCTGGAAAGTCGATGCAGAATCCGTACCGGTGACCTTAAGAGTGCTCAGAAGTGTTGTACCTCGAAAATGAAGTTCTGCTACTAATACCATTGCAGGCAACTTCAGCAGCGACGCCACCGGCAACGGAGGTAAACGCTTCTAAATTAAGCATCGGAATTTAATTATAATTCATCAACTCAGTCTTTATAAATTGGATTTCTTCAACGCGTATCTGCGAATTCAATGTACGAAACTTAATTTATCTAATTACTGACATAATCTGTGATCTGTCTTCTGAATCTTTTTCAGTTTGTTACCCAAATCTTGCATGCGGAAAGAAAGATTGCACTAAATTGTGCTTGTATTTGCTGCAGAGTCCCAAGGAATGTCGATTCCAGATTGCCAGCAAGGCTGTAGTAGTTCGAAGACCCTTCTGAGGTGGCTGTTCGCCGCCAATTGCTACCCATCAGGTAGCCCGCGTCTTAAAATATACTTGAAAACCAACTTGATCGGTCAACTAATTGGGGCGTTTGGGTGATAGTGAAGACCTGAAACAAATTTTAAACTCCCAATTCGGCACCCTCTTATGGCTACTTGTCGCTAGAAACACCAACTCAGACAAACTTCTCTACCCCCTCCTATCCCGGCAGCATAGAACGAAGATGAGGTATGAGTTGTGGACACTCTTCGGTAGCCAACTGATCCGGTTCTCATTGGCGGACTTCAAGTGTGTGACAGACTTTCTGTGCTGTCCATACCTTGAAGATTGGAGCAGAGTAGGGGATAAGTCGAAGGATTCAACGCCTCCTGAAGGAGAAGCAAGTAAGAAACCGATGTCTGAGATGTGGTAAAACCTGTTTGACTGGGACGATCCTATGGTTACAGGAAATGATGCGCTTGAAATGCTGAAGGATCCCTCTTTCCCACATTGGAAATGGCTCTCACTAGCTTATGGTATCTTACTAAATGGGGTTCTCATATGTCAAGACAAGAACCTAATAATCACCCCCGAATATGTAGATATGATGTGCGATATGGAGTACTTTCTAGAGTTCTTATGGGGTAGGGAATCGTTCGAGAAATCTCTCTCAAGATTAGCCCCCGTTGGACCAAACCAAGAAGACTCTGTTGGAGAATTTAGAAACCGTTTGAAACAGAAAACCAATGCTTGTTACGGTTTTCCATTGGCCTTGCAATTGGTTGATTTTGAAGCAGCCCCGATGCTGCTTACTAAGATTCCCGAACCAGAAAATCTGACAGAGATTCTATCCGTTCCATCTGCCTTGGAAACCACTATAACACTTCTACACATGAACGATGTCCTCGATGTGGAGTCGGACCCTAAGGTAAACACACACTCCCCTCTCATAACCACCATATATTTGCTGATGCATAGGTAGTGTACACCTCTGTTCCTATTCATATTTACGTGCGTACGTCTCCTATGCTTTTGTACGTAGAAATAAGGGGTCGAGATTAAATTTGATGTTCTGTAATTCAACATTATGCAGTTGGATGTTGCTTCCAATATCAGAGATGGAGAAGAGTCAGATGTTGGATGGGATGACGAGGTGGTGGATTACGAAGTATGTTTCTTATTGGAACTGAAAAGGAATAGTTATCAATTTAAGGAGTCTGATTTCCCAGACGGTGATACCTCTATGCCACCTTCCGAATAAATTACTTAAATGTCGTGGATAAACAGCCAACCCATGAGACGCCGCAAAAAAGAAAAAAAAAACTGCTAAAGTGGGAACAAAACCGGCTCCTAAGAGGCTCTGTCAACCAATGGACAGAAAAGGGAAGAGTGATGAAGGTTTTTTTGAAGCAGGCTTGCTGAAACGGTAGATGACCTGAAAAAGTTGATGGTTGCGCAGTTATGCCAACTCAAACAGGAGATGTTGGATGCATTTAAAGGGCATGTCGTCTCTACAAATAAGATAAAAGAAACATTTGTCGTTGGAGAGAAAAACAATGAGGATATCTGAGTACCGAACAAAACAACTGAACCTGATACTGGTAACATTGGAAGGCAGTATTCAAATAGGCTACAAAAGTTGGGAGAGATGCAGAAGAAGTCAGCAGCTGTGATTTGTGCTCCTACCAGGAAAAGACGGAGGCTGATCATGGATGATGATGATGATGCTGATTGATAACAAGACTTTTTGGTCTAGTTTGATCAATCCTAAAGCACAGTATAGTGGTAAGTATGGTGCTAAAGGTGTCAATCCAGCTCAGGTTGATGAAAGGTACTAGGAATGCAAGAACTTTGTAAATCTAAGTGAAAACCGGATAATTAAATGCAACTACTAAATGACCACGAAAACTATTTTAAAATCCCTACTGATGGGTTAAACAAGTACTAGAAGACTTCTAAGAATTTAAAATGCAAGACTACTAGTTTCAAAAATTCGAAAGCTAAAAGCAGACAGAAAAGGAAAGTTCTAACAACCTAGGATGATATTCAAGAAACTAAGACAAAAGATGCAAACTTTATAAATAGGAAATGATGACTTTGAGTTGTTAAATTCTTATTGAGGATTCAAGGTTGAGGGTCATGCTTAAGGTGGTTCAAGATTCAAACTTTGGGTTTTGAAAACATAGATCTACACATTTAGTGTTATCTCTAAGCCTTGAGAAGCTAAACTAGATTTATCCATGGCGTATGGTATAAATCCTTTCCTCAACCTTTCCTCCTAACCCATGGCGTGTGGTGGAAAGAAAGGTTGAAGAACATGAAGCATCAATCTCAAGTAATGGCCTAACTAGCTCCCTAAGCAACCATGGCGTTCGGGAAAGGATGAGCTAGTCTCTTGAATTTGGTTTTAAGGGATCTCCTGAATCCTGCTAAGGTAAGGAAACCCCTGAGATCAAAGAGATCTTTCTCAAGACTCTCTAGGCATTAAAACCCTCAAATCCAAGAAGAGAATAAGTTAAGAACAAGAAAAAGACCAAAGCTTAAACCTTTAAACCCCTTAATCACCTCAACCTTAAACCCATAAATGACTACTCGATACACATGATTAAAACACACGAAAATGCAAAAGAAGAAAGGATAAACATGATTAAACTACTAAGCAAGAGAGATTAAAGAAAATACTTAAGATTAAAGCAAGATTAATGTCTACAAAATAATGAAAAGCTTAAAAGGGTAAACCATGGCGGTTTTTCAAAGCATAAAGATAAGATAGCATAACATAAGATAAAAATGGGGGAGACAGATTGTATGGTTCTTATTCTCGCCCAAAATAGGTTAAACAAAAAGGAAAATGGTCCCCTCACTAAAATCCAAAAGTGAGCTGTCCGGATAAGGTTCAGAGATCGACCTGAGCAGTCGATCTCTTACTCGATCTTTCCCGTAGAACGTCTTCTCTCGCTCCATCTTCGGGTCGATTCGGTAGGGTGGATCGAGTGCTTCCATCGATCTTCTGATCGATCCTCGGATGATCGAGTCGTGACCTCGATATGGCCCTCATTCTTCCCGGGCTTAGTTCCCGTATCCGTACTCACGTTCGATCACCTTGGTCGATCTCGACCTCGATCTTCTTCCTTGAAACGACCCGAGTAACTCGATCTTCTGTCTAGATCGACCTGCCTAGCTTGATCCGCGCCTTGATCCCGGTTCCTTTGCTGCATGGCTGAGTTCCTCCACGTATCCATAGGCTTCCTTTCGATCCTTAGTATGTCCACGCACCCTCTATAGCTCTAGTGTATCCAAAACAACCTGAATATGATGCAAGAATGCAAGAAATATGCAAAATGCTAATGCAAAGTGTTCTAGGACCTAAAATGAAATAAATGGTGCAAACTAGCCTATTATGAAGGATGTATGCATGAAAACTACTCTGAATGCATGCTAAATATGCGAAATATATGAGTATATCACTGATCATGTGTGCGATGGTAGATCTTGGCATACAGATTCATGGAGCAGGAAGAAGGGAAAGGTGGTGAGGAAGGGAAAGTTGATGAAGAAAGAAAAGGTGATGAAGACAGTGAACATGATGAAGACAGTACAGAAGAATTGAAGGAGGGTGAATAAAAAGGTGCTGAAAATGGGAATGTGGGAGAAGTTTCCAAAGCGGCTAAAGAACAAACTGAGGATAAGGAAGGAAAAGAGGCTGAATATGCCGACGAAACAACAGAGTAATTCGTGGGCATGGCTAGCATACGCCCAATTCAGCTTGAGGAGGTAACCCGTACACTAGTATCAAAAATGCATTAGAATTCTTATTTTTGGGTGAAAAGTTAG